ATTTTCGCAAATACTGAAATTTACGTAATATACAGGGTGTCCCAAAAAACATGGGAATTCAGTGACGAATTCGATATCGTCTTTGTTATGAATTAGCATTGTAATACCTAATTTCAAAAGCCATAATATTATTATGTCTGCTAGAGTTTATTTAATGAAAAGGGTAAAAGACTGAAAATATGTGTCTATAATGTCTCCGCAAGATGAACAGTGAATATAGACAAGTTTACTCTGTTTGTATACTGTAATTTTCTTGTTTTACTAAGTACAACCGGTTGCAGTCAAAACATAAACAAACAAAATGTAAACATAGCAGACGAAACTCTTACAGATTACGCTTTCTCAGTAGGTATCACTATACTAAATCAAAGAATTATTCATAAAGACGATATCGAATTCGTCACTGAATTCCCATGTATTTTGGGACACCCTGTAGTATAAAACTCATTGAAAAATTGTCTAGACGACATTTGATAAATTCCTCCGATGTATTCGTTATTAAGGGTTTCACTGTATTAAATTTGAAAAAAAGAGGGAAAGAAGAATGTTTTAACCCTATTACCCGCCGGTCGTCCTCAAGACTTCACTAGGATTGATACAAAATCGCGTTCAAACGGTGAGCTCCATTACATATTACATACTCTAACCTTTCTCCGATATTCGCTGATTTATTTTCACATACCATCGGTCAACCTTTCCATGTAAAAAATAAGGCTGAAAATAATTTCTTTGCTTACTTACCAAGAACAAAATAAGCCAGATCTTACTCAATAAATCAATTTCAATTTTATTTATTCATCCAGCCTCAAGTCTTAAATTAGCTAATACGACATTTGAAGAAATATGCCATTACATTTTAGAGTAGCTATAAATGATTGAAAAATTGAAATAATCGATTTGTTAACAAAAATGATGCCCATTTCTAAATTCAACTGTTTAAATACGCTTGTAAGGGATGTCTACTCTATAATTAACCAAATGAAAATGAACGTCGTCTTCAATTTTTGAGATAATTTGCTGCATTTATTTGTCAAGCTAATTTTTGAAGTAAAATTCTAGAGATAGTAATCACAAAATACCTCTAGTCCTGATATTTCCAAAATGTGGTCAGTCTTATTTGTGCTTTCGATTTCGACAGATTTCGTTCAGATTTCGACAATTTAGGTTTTATTTAACAAACTTCTTAATATCTCTAGTAATATTGACAGCAACAAAAAGGCAGACCTCATTTTGGAAATACCAGAACTAGAATTATTTTGTGGTTATTGTTATACACGTTAAAGTAGGCTGAAGACTAAATGTCACAAATGAATTCCAAGATAAAAGACGACTTTCAAGTCGTCTTGCTACTGTCATGTTCGTGGGACACCCGAGCTGTAGAATAAATTAGGATCAAATGGCACGAATAGTTAGGAGTATATAAGCAAGGAGTTTATCGTAGGAACTATACAATTGCACGATTTATAAACTCTTTATCCTAACATTGTATTTTTAAAACACAATTTGTCATATCAAATGGTCATGCTTAATGATACATTCTATATATTATGTACGTTTTAGCTGATATACCTTATCCAACAAGACTATAATATTTGTTTCAATACCAAAAAAAGTCTCTACTAAGACCCACTTCCAATCAGTGCATTATTTTGCTTTTTGGAAATCTTGTGACATAAAAGAAGCAGATATTTCTTATTTTGCCAAACAGCAATAAATATTTTGTTTCGCAACCAAATGGTCTCGATCCGTTGATGAAACGTCCCTGGAGTTTTCTGGTCTGGTAATGGAATGCCCCTGGAGTAGAGATGAGTTCTGTAAAATTTGCAGTACTCTACCTGAAGGAACCAGTTTTAGTTAATTGTTTATAGGCTAAGGCCTATAAGGAAGATGTTCAACAACTTCAGAGATTCCTAGAAATGATAAATTTTTATCGCCATTTTATGCCCAACATTGCTAAAACTCAAAAACCTTTAACATCTGCCCTGATGGTTCACCTAAATTGTTTGTCTGGTTAGAATCTATGTCTACAGCTCTCTCTGCAGGGAAAGATGCACTTATCTCTGCTACACACTTGAATCACCCAAACCCTTCTGCTCAACTTTCCTAAGCTGTGGATGCATAAGATACTCATGGTGGAGCAGTGCTTCAACAACTACAAAATGGATGTTGGGCTCCACTTTCATTCTTTTTAAAGCAACTTGATTTTGCAATTAAAATATTCTGCTTTTGATATTGAGTTGCTTGCTCATCTTTCCATCTGCAATTTCCAATATTTGTTCTAGGACCAGTGCCCACTTTGTGTCCTGTACGGGGTTATCGTAGGTAAGGTACAGAAGCTAGAATAACCAGAATTGTATGACTTCCTTACCCTATTCCAGTACCCATGCTGCAGACGTTTAGGAATCCACCACTCAACACAACTGCCTATCATCCTCAGGACAATGGAATGGTTAAGATATACTATAGACAGCTTTAAGATGCTCTATGCTCTCCTAAACTGGTTATAATTGGTTTCATCACCTTCCTAAGGTTTTATTAGGTATCTGCTCCATCCAACAGGAAGATTCCGCAATTACCTCTGCAGAATTGTTACATGAAACTCGGCTAACGCTCCCAGGACAGTTTTAAGAGTATGGAGTATGGAGTAAAAGTTTTCAACAAGAAACATTCCCTGCTTCCACCTCATTATCATAAAACAGTTCCTCCACCTGTTCTCAGAACAAGGTTGATATGCTATTTGTATGAAGAGATGGTCATTGGTCATGTACATACCTCCTCTCTTTCCATTATATGAAAGTCCTTACTGAGTATTGGAAAGATCAGACAAATATTTCCGCCTTAAAATAGTTAACAACATACATACAGATTCTATTGATAGACTCAAACCCTTCCATGCTGGGAGGGTTGTGAAACCAGCACAGCCACCTTTAAGAGGTAGACCTCCCAAGAAACCAACTGCTCTAATATCCTCTCTACATCTACACTCAACACTGATCAGACCTGATTGAGACTTGTGGGGAACTCCTGTAGAGGATAGGTTTTCTCTTTAAATCAATACTAATAATCCTCAAAATTGTAATTGTAAATTTAAGAAAAAAGAGGACCCTTTAGAAATCCACAAGCTCTTCAACCTGCAAACTGAGTGACAAGTCCTCCTACAGAGTAGATTAATCTTTTCTAATATACAATGAATAAATATCAAATCTGGTTGAACTACTTACTTCTAAAATGTCATATTAAACAAATACTAACAACCAGGGGCGTATTCAGGAATTTGTCCAGGGGGAATTAAATTTTTTTATCTTTCGAGGGGGGGGGGGCTCAGCACCCATTGGGGCCTGAAAACCCCCTGAAATCAATAGATTTCACTGGTCCAGGGGGGGCTTAGCCCCCATAGCCTCCCCTGATTACGCCCCTGCTAACAACATCTTTAGCTTGATTAGCTTTTTAAACCTAAAGCTAATCTATAAAAACATTAAATTAACTAAATTTTAAAACACATTTTTCAAAAAATAGTTTTGTAGAGATTTCAGAGAAGACAAAACTGAATCAATTAATTCAGTGGGCCTCTACCATTTTCCATGTAATTCTTTCTTTTCTTCCATTTTCCTTGTAATTCTTTCTTTTCTTCGATTTTCCTTGTAATTCTTTCTTTTCTTCAATTTTCCTTTTAATTCTTTCTTTTCTTCCATTTTCCATGTAATTCTCTCTTTTCTTCAATTTTCCTTGTAATTCTTTCTTTTCTTCCATTTTCCTTGTAATTCTTTCTTTTCTTTCATTTTCCTTGTAATTCTTTCTTTTCTTCAATTTTCCTTGTAATTCTCTCTTTTCTTCAATTTTCCTTGTAATTCTCTCTTTTCTTCAATTTTCCTTGAAATCATTTTTTACTTAAACTTTCCTTGTAATCCTCTCTTTTTTTCATTTTCCTTGTAATTCTTTCTTTTCTTACATTTTCCTTGTAATCCTCTCTTTTCTTCTGTTTTCCTTGTAATCCTCTCTCTTCTTTTTTCCTTGTAATCCATTTTTTCTTCCATTTCCTTGTAATCCTTTCTTTTCTTCCATTTTTCTTGTAATCCTCTCTTTCCTTCCATTTTCCTTGTAATCCTCTCTTTTCTTACACTTTCCTTGTAATCCTCTCTTTTCTTCTGTTTTCCTTGTAATCCCCTTTTTTCTTCCATTTTCTTTGTAATCCTCTCTTTTCTTCCACTTTCCTTGTAATTCTTTCTTTTCTTCCATTTTCCATGTAATTCTTTCTTTTCTTCCATTTTCCTTGTAATCCTCTCTTTTCTTCCATTTTCCTTGTAATTCTCTCTTTTCTTACATTTTCCTTGTAATCCTCTCTTTTCTTCTGTTTTCCTTGTAATCCCCTTTTTTCTTCCATTTTTCTTGTAATGCTCTCTATTCTTCCTTTTTCCTTGTAATCCTCTGTTTTCTTCCATTTTCCTTGTAATCCTCTCTTTTCTTCCATTTTCCTTGTAATCCTCTCTTTTCCTCTTTTTTCCTTGTAATCTTCACTTTTCTTCCATTTTCCTTGTAATCCTCTCTATTCTTCCATTTTCCTTGTAACCTCTTTTTTCCATTTTCCTTTTAATTCTCTCTTTTCTTCTGTTTTCTTTGTAATCCTCTCTTTAGTTCCATTTTCCTTGTAATGCTCTCTATTCTTCCATTTTCCTTGTNTGGAGGCAAAACTCGTTTCGGCCCCCCCCTATTTTTGCGCCACTGCTTAAGTAATCCTAAGTTTTCTTTTCATGAAAATAATAAATTTATTTTAAGATTGCATTTTCTGTATCTCTTATTGTTCTTTCCTCCAAAACTATTCGATGATCGGTTTAAAAACAAAATTTGTCAGTAATCCCCATACAAATGTTTTAACCTGCAATCCAAAGATCTGTTTTCCCTGTTCCGAAACTCCAGTCTGCCTGATGTTCTGAGGATTACCAGTTTGTGATCTCTCATGTTCCGAAGTTTGCCAGTTCTGCCGGGGTTTGCCCGTTCCAACACAAATCTTATTAGTTACAGTTGGGCCCTGACTCATGCACGAGTCGTAGTCGGGGAGCGGAGCATAGTGAATTTAAATCTGATCAATTGAATCGATCAGGATGATCAATCATGTGATTCAACATCTAAAAATTAATAATTTGTAAAGTGAAACGTATTAAAGAAACATATAAAAGTTATAAAACCCTAGAACAGGTAGACATTTTAATAATCATCTTTTTTAATTTTTAGATCATTAAAAACTTAAATTGAGTAAGTAACCGAAGAACAAATTTAAATGATTATAAAGGAAATGGAATTATAATCTTTGCTGCATTTCAAAACATGGGGGGGNAATTGTTCTCTAGGAAATTGCCCAGATGTCGAATAGATAGATAGATAGATGTCGAATAGATAGATAGATAGATGTCGAATAGATAGATAGATAGATGTCGAATAGATAGATAGATAGATGTCGAATAGATATATAGATAGATGTCGAATAGATAGACAGATAGATGTCTAATAGATAGTAGATAGATATATGTCGAATAGATAGATAGAAAGATGTCGAATAGAAAGATAGATAGATAGATGTCGATGCCGAATAGATAGATAGATAGACGTCAAAAAAGATAGATATATACACGTCACAAGTGTCAAATATTACAAGAATAAAGAAATTTTCTCACATTAGTTGACATGCTTTCCAAGATTAAATACAAGAATCTATTTGGATAGATGTGGAATAGATAGATAGATAGATGTCGAACAGATAGATAGATAGATGTTGAATAGGTAGATAGATAGATGATGGATAAAGGAACGTTGAATAGATAGATATCTGAGATATTGAACATTGGCAAACGATAAATGTTCAGAAACCTTACAGATATTATCCAGTTCCAAACCATAGACAATATAGAGACTTCTTATACCTGATATTATCCAAACCATAGACAATATAGCGACTTCTCAAGTTGATATTATCCAGACCATAGACAATATAGAGACTCCCTATAGTTGATATTATCCAGACCATAGAGACTTTTTATAGTTATTATTTTCATTCCATAGACAATACATAGACTTCTTATAGTTTATATTATCTAGTCCATAGAAAAAATAAATACTTTTTATAGTTCTTGTATTCCACCCCATTGACAATATAGAGACTTCTTATAGATGATATTATCCAGACCAAAGACAATATTATAGAGACTTCTTATAGTTGTTATTATCCAGACCATAGATAATATAGAGACGTCTTATAGTTGATATTATTCAGAACATAGAGAATATAGAGACTTATTATTGTTGATATTATCCAAACCATAGACAATGTAGTGACTTCCTACAGATAAATATTGGATAGATAGATAGACACAAATATCAGATTGATAGACACAAATATCAGATAGATAGACACAAATATCAGATAGATAGACACAAATATCAGATAGATAGATATACATGGATATCATATCGATAGATAGATAGACGTGATTATCAGATAGAAAAACATAGATATCAGAAAGCTAGATATGCATGGATAAAACATAGATAGACATAAATATCAGATAGATAAATAGATTGGTTGACATGGATATTAGATAGATTCACATTGATATCATATAGATAGATGACATGGATATCAGAAAGATAGATAGACATGGATGTCAGATAGATAGAAAGGCATAGTTATCAGTTATAGGTAAACATCAGGTATATAAATATATAGAAATAGATATCAGAAAGATAGATGGAAAGACGTGGATATCAGATAGATAGACATAGATACCATATCTATATATCTGATATCTATTTATCTTTATGGTATCTATGTCTAGCTATCTGATATATATATATATATATATATATACAGCCATAGATATCAGATAGATAAATAGATATACATGCAGATATCAGATAGATATATATACTGACATGGATATCAGAAATATAGACAGATAGAAATAAATATCTGATAGATAGATGGATATATATCTGTTTCATTGAACATCGATAAACGATATTAGAAGATCTCGGTTAACCCAATATATAATACTAGAAAGACGGATAATGAATTTTACAAAAACAAGAATGCTAAACATTAGAATTTTATTTTTATGATCATTCATCGCAATTCCTCTAAATTCAGGGTTTTTAAGAAAAGCTTTTTGTTACATTTGTTTCGGATAGAAAAAACTTTTTAGATTTTTTTAATGTAAATTAGATAACTCCCTTCCTAGATATTCAAGTGTGATTTGTATATATTGTCATTACATTGTTATTATACCAAGAGATATGATAAATTTGTGCATAAGGCAAATGTAAAGCTACTAAGAGATACTCGGTAAAATAAAAAATTCTTGGAGTACTTAAATTTACCAAGAGATACTAATCTTTGTAAATGAGAACTCAAATACTATTTTCGTTCTTTATGAAAATATGTTGGCACATAATTGAATAACTCATAAAATAATCGCCAGAGAATTATTTTAGTATCTCTTTTAGGGCGCTTCGCATCCATCTTCTATTTCAACTTTTAATTTTAATTGTGGCTGTATCTGTGAGCATCTTCTCTTTGTGCAATTTAAAACAAAAACAGAAAAGTTAGATAATACTTTTTCGCGCATTTTCAAAATTTTAAATATAAACTTTTGTGTTTTTGAGCATTCATAACCTTCCCTTGGGTCATGTAAGGTACTAAACACAAGTTTGGTCCGATCGGTTCAGCCGTTTTGAAGTTAATTGGAAGCAAACGGACAGACAGAAAAAACAAAGTATATAGATACTCTAAGAATTACTTAAACCAATATAGACAAAGTTCAGACGAGCCGAGAGAGAATGTTAGGGGAGGGTCGGGAGGGGGATGGGGTAGGGGGTGGGGAGGGTCATGGCGCCACTCAGACGAATCCCTAGCGTCCCTAGCACCTAACAGTCTACACTATTTACACAATATTTTTTTTTCTTCAAAAAGTCAATATTTTCTTTTTTGGACATATTTACATAGGAATTTAAAAAATGGAGTAACTGCATTTTGCAAATGACTTATTTTGCTATTTCACATAGCTATAATCAAAATTCTTGTTTTCTGCAGTTTTAATTGTATAAATTTAATATTTTTTATATTTTTCGTAATTTTATAAATTATTTAAAAATCCATTGAATTTCAGGCAAATCATTCAGGTATTACAAACAATAGTCATCAATTATTTTTCGACGCATTAGTATATAGTTAATATTCAATATTTTTGATTTTGTTTTTTAAATAATATTTCACTGGTTCTGGATTTTTGAACATTCCTGGAAAATATGACAATGTCGTCTTCATTATCAAAAATCCTCGAAACAGGAACAAATGTTTCCAAGGTAACTAACTATCAGATCATAAAAAATTAAAAATATGAAATATCAATTATAAACGAATATGTCGAAAAATTATCGATGATTATTGGTTGCAATATCTGAATGATTTGTTTGAAATTAAATTGATTCTTTTCCGAACCGAGTTGAGTCTTGCAATTTTTTGAATTTGTATGAACGCGCGCGCTACGTACTTCAGTATAAGTCGTTTTTAACAATTTTCTCCTTATAGACGCAACAGATAGAAGTAAGATTAGTAGCAATCAAAAGCACTTATTTTTTGCTGTATGCCTCCCCTTTCATTTTTCGCGAACACTCTCTTTAAGAAACATTCACTATTCCCTGCAACTGTAAACTATTTGCTTTATTTTCCCAATTATTAAATAAACCATTAAAAGACTATATTCAAGACAGAAGACTTATATTTACAAATAGCTGAAGTGCCCTGCGTTGCCCGTTGAAAAAAAAAAATTTGAAAAAAATGTTGAAAAAAAAATTTCAGCCCAACCGGTCCAGGCTTTAGGCAACATATATATATACGAACGTCTTGTTTTATTATATAGGTTGTCTATCACATTTGTTTCAGGTCGTCTTTTACGACTCATCATTCGTGATAACCCTGTAACTTATTTTAAAGCTATTGAGAAGAAATAAATATTTTAATTCCTAAATGTATCTATCTAAAATCTTGAAAAAAAGCACCATAAAGGGGAGTTGCACAAGTAGGTACAATTTTGCACCAGGCGCCGCAAATCACACTTTTATTTGACTCACCCTGTATCTAACCAATTAAATTTTCTTCTCTCATACTTGTGCTTAAAATCAAGAAAAGGTAATTTTATCACCTAAAATGATACTGTTATTGTTAACAATTTGTCTTTCAACTAATTTTCAACCATAAATTTTTTTCAAAAATAGATTATGCACATTTGCGATTTTTGGTTTATTACTTTTTGATTTTGATTAATAAAGTCTTATGCTTCCGTTCAATTTCATCCTTTCCTTACATTCTCATTCTATACAATACTAATCTACAATGCTAAAGGATTATCAGATAGAAAAACATAGATATCAGAAAGCTAGATATGCATGGATAAAACATAGATAGACATAAATATCAGATAGATAAATAGATTGGTTTAACTTTGTAAATTAAAGGGCGGGGGAGAAAGGAGAGGGAGATGATTAAAAATAGAGGGGTGAGGTGAAGAGGTATAAACACTAAATATCCTTATTTTAGAATTTGGAACATATTAATAAAAACAGACAGCTACTTTTTAAAGAAAAAAAGACTCATGATTAAATCTTTTTCCCTGGAAGTTCTTTAAATGTTTCATCTCCAAGAACCTTAATATTTTCGTGTTTAACATTAAAACCAAGAAATATAAAATTCTAGTATTTCCAGAAATGTATCTGAAAAAGTTTCTATCTTTCAATATTTCTATTTATCCTAGGAATCCCCTCCCTCCCCCTACCCCTACCAGCCAAACCCCTCTCCACTCTTTCCCCATTTGCACCCCACCCCCTTTCCAAAGAGGCCCCGGTTTCCGTTAGCGCGACAGGGGTATCCTAGGATTAGTTCACAAATATCATTTTTATTTTTTTTATGGTTTTTTTCCTTCGACAATTCTAAAGATTTTGTTAACAAACCAATTTTAAAATAAAAGTACATTGAATTATTTACTTTATAATTTAGGAATAAATATTTTTTATATTTGTGAACGGAGCTCTGGCCGAGCGGGCAACCCCCGAATCTCTTTTCTCTCTCTCTCTCTCTCGTTCTCCGCACTCTCTCTTCAAGTCTTCAGTTTCTGTTTCTTATCATATATCAACCTATCTATCTATCG